AAGCCGCCCTATTCATTCCTCCAGGCCCTCCCCCTCATCAAGCCGCGCACGATTTAGATTACGAATATGTTGGCGTACCGCTGTTCCCGCAAAGCCAAGAGCAACAACTGGCATCGTCGTATTCGCCCATGCGCCCGAGCGCATGGCTTGACTGGCTGCCTGGCCAGCCGTGACCCGCCACCGTGCCTGCACGATGTGGGCGTGTTACAAGTTCAGGTGTTGCTATGTAGGGTTGCTATATTATGATAGGCCCGCGCGCTGTCGAGGACACGATCCCGCGTGAAAGGAATGTGTTCGCGTACCGAGTCTTCGAGACGGCCAAGGCATGCTATGCAGCCAAGATGGCCGAACATACAGCAAAGACGGGCCAAAATGGCCCCGAGGCGGCAGCATATGGCCTCAAGACGGACCGAGATACCTCCACGAGAGCCCAAAAGGGCCGCATCAGGACCTCATAGAGGACACCAAGGCATCAACATCATTGATTCCCGTGTGGTGTTCGAATGGTGTTCGAATTATCGCCTATCCGAACTTCCGTCAGCTAAAGACTGCCCATGAAACCTCCACGATGGCCACAAGACGGCCCAAGAGCTTGGTCAACCCCTATAGTATGATTGCAGTGATGTGGCCTGGGCTCTTGACGAACGCAAGACGCTCAAAAACGCGACGCGTCTGCTTCAGCGTTGCCAGCGACGTTCCTTTTCTGTTAACAGAACAAAGCCTTCATACGTATATATAACTATATATATAATAAAAAGTCGTCGCTGTGCATCATGCTTTGTTTCACGTCGTTGGTGATCGTGTCGGGAGCTGCTCCTCGTGGTTCATGTCGCTCTCATGTTGCTCTCCCGCCCCTGGCTGCCTCCCGCTCCTCCTGCTCCTCGCGCAGACCAAGCAAGAAACGCAGGAACACCCGATCTCTGGCGCAATACCAGCCCGGAGGCCCCGCGACCAACCCACAGCGACGGCCGGGGAGAAAATAATACATTTTGTTGTACGGATGTCGCTACTACAAATACTAATGATACCAATGGTGCTGAAATCACGGTAACTGTAAAAGGAGGATTAGACGCAAGGGGAATGGCCGAAGGAGACCGTAAGCGGCAATACTAAACAACGCACCAGACAACACCGGGGAACAAAAACGCACGTAGATACTTAATCCGCAAGACGAAGCCGAGTCGTTGTCTTATTATGTTTAATGTGTTAGTTCGGACCTAAACACGTCAAGCAACTGATCAATACGCCGAATTCACAACGTTGTGAGTTATAGACGCTCGAGGCATATCTACGATGAACGAAGCCCAGGAGGCCCCCACGAGGGTCCAAAGACAGCCGAACAAGGCCCCCCGAGGTCCTAAGAGGCATCCGAAACGGCCCACAGACTTCCCAAAAGAAGCCTACTGTGGGACCCCAGACGCGACGGAGTCAGATCCCCACGGGGCGGATCAGATCCCAACGAGAAGTTTCCGATCCCAACGTGTAACAACACCAAAATGGGTCAGATCCCAACGGCCGGGAACAATACTTGTTGAAGGTTGTTTTTGCGTGATCAGCTTGGCCATGTAGAGAGTACAGCAAATTCTTCGAAAGGGACCCACTCGGTTTTCGTACTGCGCCGGTGCGAGTTCTAACCCCTCCAGGACGGCCCCATATAGGTTCAACGCAGACCAGACGGCAGCATACACGAACGTCTACGACACATATACGGAACGTGCGCGAACCTTAGATCAGCATGTTCCCGGACAGCTCTCTGAGAGCTAAGAGAACCTCAGATTCGAAGCCCGCGGTGGGTGGTGCCAGGCCAACGCCCACCTTCGTCGCTCCAGGCTCCCCGCCGCGCCCTGTCCAATCCTGCAGCGTGGCCCGGAGCCTCTCCTCCAACACGTTCCCGTAAAGAAACTCGGCCCAGACGTCTCGTGGACGTCCCCAAACAGGTCTCGCCAGGGAGGTCCCCAGGGTGCATCGGCGACGTCTCCAGACTTCGAGACCAAAGGTGGCGGCCGTGCCGAGAGTTTGACCTCGAAGCTTCCCCGCCGCCCGCCGCCCGCCGCCCGCTGCCCGCCGCCCGCTGCCCGCTGCCCGCTGCCCGCCGCCGCCCCGCCCGGCGGCTCTGCTACCCGAGTTTTGGACGCTATACGGGTTTTGGACGCTACCACCATCGGCGCCTGTCCTCCTCTTCCTTCTCCTCCTCCTCCTGCTCCTGCTTCTGCTGCCATCCCCCCCTCGTTCCTGCATCATTCCTCTTTCTTCCCCCCCTCCCGTCCTCCCCCATCCCTCCTCCTCCTCTTCCCTGTTTTGGAGTCCCGAAACGGTGCGGTGACAGACCGTGCGGTGACCTCGGAACCCCAAGAGACCTCACCGCACGGTCTTGCACCCCACGGTCCTGGGACCCTGGAGGCCCCCGCCGCCCGAGACATCCTCAGAGAAGGACTCGGAGACTCGAAACCGTGCGGCGACCCCGAATCCCCACCGACTCGCCGCACGCTGTGGTCACCACACCGTTTGGGGGCCCCCGATGCCTTGCCTCCCGTCCCCCCCCTCCCCCCCCCGCACTCCCGTATATGCTGCGCCGCCCCTGCCCCGGCAGCTGCGCCTCCCCGCTCCCACCACTTCCTGCGAGCCGCTCCCGCCAGTCGGGCGTCGGGCGCCGGGCGCCCGACGGCAGGGGAACCGCCGCCGCCAGCGGCGCTGTGGTTTGAAAGCGGGAGCAGGTCTGACGTGCTGCTACGCCGTGCGCTGCCATGCCATGCTCGGGCCTGGCGTACTCTTCTGCGTCACGGTGTGCGATGTGTTGCTCAGTTCTGCCACGTTCGTCGACAGCGCGGGTGGCGGGAGACACCCGGGGGCGCACGAGCCCGAGTACGCCATGGTACCCGAGCTGTGTCCGAATGGCTCCCGGATTGGAAGCAGGATGTTTCAACGTTCGTCTGGTGCAGCGCCGTGTGCGCGCACGTGCTGAAGGCTGCAAGACCGGCATAGCGAAACTGGCACCGGTGTCGCCACAACATCGACGCACATCGCAGATGAAAGTGCGCATGGCGTTTGGGGGGTGCAACGATGAAGCTGTGATCGCTCGCAGGACCTCGCCGGACAGAAGCGCGCGCATGCTCTCGCGCGATGCCCGGGCAGCCAAACGCGGCTCTGGAATGGCGCGCGCGCTCCCGATGGGGCCGCGCAAGGTAGACGCGGCCGCAGGCCCTCTAGAGGCCCGCGAGGGGGCCCCCGCCGTGGGCCCCCCCCCCCCTGCACACCCAGAGTGCACCCAATGTGTCACCGTCGGATGTCCGGTTGGGGTTCACCGTTTGTGACCTCGTGGTGCCAAGCGACGACCCCCGACGGTGCCCCTATCAGTGACCCCCCACACGGTGACCCCCAACGGTGGCACCCCAAGGCGGCGGCACTCCTCCCGCGGATCATCGACCTCGGGACGACGGGCAGTATGCGCCAAGCGCGTTCGAAGCAATCCGCTCGTGTTCAGGGAAGCCCGATGTGGAACCGGCAGTGATACAAGACGTGCCCGAATCGGTGCCCGAATCATGTGGCCGAACAGGTGCCTGAACGGCGACGATCATGCGCCCAACTGGAAACGACAATGTACCCGAATGGCACTGTAACGACAACGAGTGTCCAAGGCGCTCCCAGAGCGACGCACGCGCCACGACAGACAACCACTCTACCAAGGCGGCCCCGGCCACGCACGGCGTAACGCAGGCACCGCAGGCGACGACAAGCAACGACTCCCCCAGAACCACCGCGCGAGGAGCCGCGGAGCGCACGCAACGGCGCGGACGCGGCTCACTGCGGGGCCGCACGCTACACACCTCTGATCGTGGCAACTCGCTGGGTGCCCGTTTTGGAATGGGCTTTTAGCGGAAGAGGTTCGCTCTGGGAGCGCCTTATTAAAATAGAACTTCCAAACAACCATCCAAAAAACCTTGTTCGCTTTTAGCTTTTTGGTGACCATCCAAAAACTGTTTTGGGATGGGCTGGTGGAGAGGCTACTTATTGCTACGCGGGCGCGGGAAGCGAGTCGGACGCCGGGCAGGCAGGGGCAGGCCGCGCCACCGGCCAAAGGGAAAGGCAGCAGAGGGAGCAACGCCAGGCACAGAGCGGGCCAGAAATCCGCGCGGCCAACCTGGCGCGGACGGCATCGCTACGCGGCGCTGGGAATACGTCCTTGAAGGTGCCGAGCTGGAAGCGGATGCAGAGGAGCCACGGCGACGATGGGTGTAAGTCCGGGCGCGGTGGGGATGATATTTCGTTGGTCTGCGGGCTCGCGAAGCAGGTCGAAAGCCGTCCGAACACTAGCCGGGCCGCGACTAGGCAGCAAGAAGAGTTTGGGGATAATGCGCAAAGCGTCAAGAATTCTACGGGCGGTGTTGACCGCCCTCGGGAAGGCACATCACGGGCGAAAACCAGAGATCTCGAACCTCAAACCTCGATCTTCGGAAGAATACCTTGAGACCATGACGTCGCAGTGGATTCGCGTCAGGCGCGTTCACCTGGACCCCAGGGCACTCGCAGATCGATCGAATCCGCAAAAGAAGGCCGCGGAGAGATGGAGTGGATAGGGCTCCCGGCCATCTTGCGCGAGGTTGACTTCGCTCCGACGTCGGCTGACAGGGGAGAACAAATCCAGCAAATACCGAACCGGACAGTGGGATCGAGTCGGAAGCAGCCCTGCCTGCATCGGCACGGCATCGAAACCGGATCGGACTGGCTGCACCAGGATGCACAACCGCGGACCGTCGTGTCGGAATCAGGTACCGAGTCGGGTCGGCCGGCGGGAATCGATACCGAATCGGGTCGGTCGGGTCGGCATGGACCCTGCCAGGGTGGCGGCAGCCACAGCTCGGACCTGCCGCGGTTGTCCGGGACCATTCGGACACCCTCAAGACACGCTCTCGGCGGGACCAGCTGCGCACTGGACAGCATGCCGAGGCTGGCCCCACGGAAGCGCCACAAAAACCTCGGGTTTCGAACCTCCAGGTCGTGGCCTCCCTCCAGGCTGCAGGTGCCTCCCGGCATCCGATCCCGAGGGAGGGGGAGGCCCCGTTCGGCGGCACCCGCCCTGCGGCGCCTTCCGCCCGAATGGCCGCGGGCCCCAGGGTGGGCTGGGGCCGAACAGCTGTCTCGTGCGCCTGCTCGGGCAGCCTGGGCCAAATGGCTGCCGTGAGAAAAGGCCAGAGAGCTCGACCCGTGGAGAGGCCCCGACCGGAAGCTGGCCGAGGGCTGGCAAATCCGTGGCTGGCCAATCCGTGGCAAACGGTCTTCCCGGAAGAGAAAGACAGATTCCCGGAAGAATTCGGAAGCTGGGCGATGGCTGCTAAAACCGCGGCTGCTAACACGGCCGTCCCGGAAGGAAAGAACAACTTCCCGGAATGAGGCGCGGCACACGAAGCAGTCGACGGGCTTCTTCCCAGCAGGACGAAGACAACTTCCCGGAAGTCGATTTTAGCAGCCACGGATTTAGCAGCTCTTGCCCGGCTTCCGAATAAAGCTCAGCTTGAACGCGGGTTTCCGTACCCTTGTCGCCAGAACTGCATTCCAGGATTCGCAGATTCCCGGGACACACAGAGACATAAACCTGCAATCTCTTAATTTCCCCGAATACAAATTTCAAACAAGTATGTCGATGGGTGCTAGTTTGAGGGCCAACGACACCCACCAGTAGTTAAATACTTGTTCAAGCTGCGACGGCGACGGCGACGACGACGGCGGCGACGGCGACGACGATGGAGACGAAAACGACGACGACGACGACGACGACGAGGACCGAAGGCGGCGACTACGACGACGACGACGACGATTACTACTACTACTACTACTACTACTACTACTACTACTACTACTACTACTACTACTAGTGTTGCAACTACTACTCCTACTATTACGACTACAACTACAACTACAACTACAACTACAACTACTACGGCTACTACTACGACTACTACTACTACTACTACCACTACTACTACTACTACGACGACGACGACGACGACGACGACAACGACTACTACTACTACGACGACTACTACTACGACTACTTCAACTACTACTACTACCAGCACCACCACTACCACTACCACTACTACTACTACTACTACTACTACTACTACTACTACTACTACTACTACTACTACGACTACTACCACCACTACCACCACTACTACTACTACCACCACTACTACTACTACTACTACTACCACCACCGCCACCACCACCACCACCACCACCACCACCACCACCACCACCACCACACCACCACTACTACTACTACTACTACTACTACTACTACTACTACTACTACTACTACTACTACTACTACTACTACTACTACTACTACTACTACTACTACTACTACTACTACTACTACTACTACTACTACTACTACTACTACTACTACTACTACTACGGCTGCTGCTACGCAAATTACTCCGACGGAAGAACCCCACATAAGAATCCTCTGGGCGAATCTGGAAAAAGCCATCACCGTCGTCCTCGTGGTTGGTGAGGCGTCCTGGCTGTCTCTTCTGCGTATATTTCCTCTCGCCTTGGCGCGGGCCCCCCTTCCACTCCTTACGTTGTCCCCATCCTCGCCCCCCTGTTTGTTCCGCGCCCCGCCACCTCCTCCCCTTCCTGTTGCATGAGCGCGCATGTCGATGTTCCTCGGCGCCGTCGCCGCCACGGCCAGCACAGGCGCGTTCTCTACTGGTCACGTCGCGCAGCCGTTGGGACAACCCCGCGGGCCAGGCTGTCGGGACAACCCCGCGAGCCGCTGGCGCGCAAGACCAAGCCGTTGGGACAACCCCGCGGGCTTCGAGCGAGGCGCAGCCGCGCTCAGGCGGAAGGCAGCACGAAGCCCAGCTCTGCCGCGAGCTGCTTCGCCTCCGCCCTGGACAAAACCGCTCTCTTGTCGAACTCCAGGAGCGCCTTCCGCAGGGACGCCGGCGGCCCGCACTCCAGGAACTCTCGCGGCGGCGGCCGCAGGATCAGCATGTTCCGCATGCACGTGGCGCGGGAGAACATGACGTAGAGGTGCAGCCACCACTGCTCGTCCGACATGCCCGTGCGGCCAGCGTCCTCGTCTCTCGCGCAGTCGATGGTGACGCCCTTGCGCAGCGTCTGGCCCTGCGACAGCGTGGAGGTCAGGTAGGACGCGTGCGTCAGGGTGAACCCCGAGCGGCGCACGCTGTGCGCCCCCGAGCTCTGCCATGTGAACTCCCTTTCGCTGGGCCTGAACATCAGCAAGCTCCGCGCCCGCGCCTCGGCCTGGCCGTCGTCGTCGGCGCCTTCGGCGCCCTGTCGCAGCACCTCGGCGACCTCCTGGTAGATCGGAGACTCCTTGAAGCCGTGCACCTGCAGCCAGATTCCTGACCCGCTCGGATTACCAACATGATCTGCGGGCCCCATAGGGAGGGGGCTCCCGCCTGAGACTTCCTCGCAGTTCACTCACAGACGAGGCTCCCGCCTGAGACTTCCTCCATATTCAGGCTTGAGGAGCCCAAAAGTGACGACAGTTACAGGGTTCCGATGACCCGCTCGGATTACCAACATGATCTGCGGGCCCCATAGGGAGGGGGCTCCCGCCTGAGACTTCCTCACAATTCACTCACAGACGAGGCTCCCGCCTGAGACTTCCTCCAAATTCAAGCTTGAGGAGCCCAAAAGTGACGACAGTTACAAGTTCCGATGACCCGCTCGGATTACCAACATGATCTGCGGGCCCCATAGGGAGGGAGCTCCCGCCTGAGACTTCCTCCCAATTCACTCACAGACGAGGCTCCCGCCTGAGACTTCCTCCATTTTCAGGTTTGACGAGCCCAAAAGTGACGACAGTTACAAGTTTCCGATGACCCGCTCGGATTACCAACATGATCTGCGGGCCCCATAGGGAGGGAGCTCCCGCCTGAGACTTCCTCACAATTCACTCACAGACGAGGCTCCCGCCTGAGATTCCTCCAAATTCAGGCTTGACGAGCCCAAAAGTGACGACAGTTACAGGTTTCCGATGACCCGCTCGGATTACCAACATGATCTGCGGGCCCCATAGGGAGGGGGCTCCCGCCTGAGACTTCCTCACAATTTACTCAACGATGATGAGGATCAGGATGATGAGTGGTGGTGAAGATGAGTGGTGAAGAGGATGATGATTGATTGTGAGTGGTGGTGGCGATGATGATGTTTGGATGAGGATGATGCCGATGCCGATGATGATGATGATGTTCGTGAGCGTGTGAGAGAGTGCGAGTGATGATGATGATGAGTATGTGAGTGACTAAGCATGTGAGAGAGCATCATCGATGATGCTGATGAGGTTCATGATGAGAGAGTGTGAGTGAGTGTGAGTGGGTGTGTGTGTGTGTGTGTTCCTGTCCTGTTCCTGCGCGGGGTGTCCAGAGAAAACAAGAACCCCACTTTGGATGTGGGGAACTACTACGACGAGGAAGGTTTACTACTACTACTACTACTGCTGCTGCTGCTACTACTACTACTACTACTGCTACTACTACTACTACTACTACTACTGCTACTACTACTACTACTACTACTACTACTACTACACATATCACTGCGACAACTACTACTAAGACGCCTGCTACGACTACGGCCACTGCCGCTACTACGACTACTGCTGCTGCTGCTACTACTACGACTACTACGACTACGACTACTACTACGACGACGACTACTACTACTACTACGACGGCTACTACTTCTTCTTCTTCTACTACTTCTACTACTACTACTACTACTACTACTACTACTACCACCACTACTACTACTACTACCACTACTACTGTTGCTACTACTACTACTACTACGACCACTACTATTACTACTTCTACTACTACTACTACTACTACTACTACTACTACTACTACTACTACTACTACAAGTACCACTACAACTACTGCTACTACAACTACTGCTGCGACTACGACGCCTATACCTACGAGTACATGTACTGCTCCGAGCAATACTGCTACTATCACGGCGACTACTTCGACTGTTGCTACGAATATCCTGCTACTACTACTACTACTACCACTACTACTACTACTACGACTAACGCCAATACTACCACTACTACTACTACTACTACTACTACTACTACTACTACTACTACTACTACTACTACTACGACTACGACTACGACTACGACGACGACGACGACGACGACGACTACTACCACTACTACTACTACTACTACTACTACTACTACTACTACTACTACTACTACTACTACTACTGCTACTACACCCACCACCACAACTACGATTGTTACTACTACTACGGCTGCTACTAGTATTCCTGCTCCTACAACTACTACTCCTACTACTACTACTGCTGCCCCGACTGAGACGGCTACTGCAACTACTTCGGCTACGACTACCACTACTCCTACGAATCAGGTTACTACTGCTAACACGATGACGGCTACTCCTACTTCTCCTACTACTACTACCACTAGGACTGCTAATGGCACGACTACTCCTACGACTACGACGACTACTACTACTACTACTACAACTGCTACTACTATGAAATCTAGCACTACCACTGATACTACTACAACTACTACTACTACTACTACTACTACTACTACTACTACTACTACTACTAATACGTATGCGACCATGCATACGATTGCTAAGACTACTACTACGACTGCTACTACGACTGCTACTGCTACTACTACTACTACTACTACTACTACTACTACTGCTACTACTACCACTACTACTACTACTACGACTAGTACTACTACTATTACTACTACTACTACGACCACTACTACTTGTACGACTACTACTACGACTTCTACTTCTACTACTACTACTACTACTACTACTACTACTACTGCGACCACTGCTACTATTACTACTATTACTACTATTACTACTACTACTACTACTACTACAGCTCCTGCCTCTACGGCTGCTGCTACTACCAAGACCACCTATACTACTGCTACTACGACTACTACTACGACAACTGCTACTACGACTGGTTCTGCCACCACTACTACGACTACGGCCACTACTACGAGTACGGCCACTACTACGACTACTACTACCACTCCTACTACTACTACTACTACTACTACTACAACTACTACTACTACTACTACTACCACTACTACTACTACTACTACTACTACTACT